CTCATTTTGCAGATATTATGGAGCATGGATCTAAAAACAATTTTGACATTGTTTTTTTTAATCTATTCTTGGGATGTTGCAGGTAATTTAAAGAGAATTATTGCAGATGCTGTTTCTGAAAAGTTTTTGGCTAAAAATGCAGCAAGAAAAGATTCCAGTGGTGTACATGGGTAGATGCCAGATTGAACATATGGACTGAGTAAGCCAATCTGGCATCTACCCATGTACACCACTGGAATCTTTTCTTGCTGCATTTTTAGCCAAAAACTTTTCAGAAACAGCATCTGCAATAATTCTCTTTAAATTACCTGCAACATCCCAAGAATAGATTAAAAAAAACAATGTCAAAATTGTTTTTAGATCCATGCTCCATAATATCTGCAAAATGAGTTTTTGATCAATCTTTTACACTGTGCCCCTAAAATAATTTAGCCTCGGTATATTAAGTGGAAAGAGAAAGTCCAAAATTATGCTGATACAATATGGCAGAGGAGGGTAAAGTCTACAAGATGCAATATGTGCAGGCTTTGATTTTTATTTAATTTTCTGGCCTTTAAACTAGTTCTCATTATCCTTTCTACTGAAATTAAAGTTTTAAATGCTGCTATTCCAATATTGGCACTTTCCAAAACAGTTTTGACATTGTTTCTAACAAGCAACTTTATTGCTTCTTCCCCTTCTTCCATCCCCCTTCTGCAGCACTGGATGAAACTATAGCTGCCCAACGTTCGAAAGGGCACACTTTTTGACCTTAGAAGTTGTTCATACCCTAGGTTTCCAAAAAGCCATGTGTGGGCACAAGATTGTAATTTGAGAAGTGAGATTTAAACTCAGAAACGCACTTTGGCCCAGGTCATTAAGTAGAAAGAGACAACTGTATTCGAGAGAGTGTAAAACAGATTTGTCAGGAACAAAAAAATTCAAGGAACTGAAATATTTTCATACTGTGCAAAATAATATGCACTCTTTCTTTCTCCCCGCCCCATCAAAACAAAGAACCCCACACCTTGGAATGAAAATTAAAAACAAAAACACCCACCACCCACAACCCACCTCATCCAGTTCTTCATACATTCAGAACAAAAAAAGTAAAACTGAAATTCTAGGGCTTTATACAGCAAAAAAATACCATTTTGCAAAACTAGGTCATCTACACTACTGGGTGTTTTAAAAAAAAATTTATCTAAATATTGATATTCACACAACAGAAGAGGGGTTAAAATAAGGTTATCATAATGTGAGAGGTGGATCTGAAAAGGGATGCCCTACACAGTAACTGTTTTAAATTAAGGATCTAACTGAAGCTGCTAAGAAAACAAATACCAGATTCAAAGTAGAAACTGGATAGTAACTCCCCCTTCCTCTATTTATTTATATATATATATATTTATAACTTTGAAAAGAATTCATATCAGCACTAGTTCTAGTACCGATATGCAATACAAGTAACAAGGTATGTATTTCTGCCACTTGTAACCAATATAAAGTGAAAAAACCAAACCCAATGATTCTAAATGTATCCGTGTAATCCCAAAATATAATAAAACCACACGGAATCCTGTCCTTAAAGCAGGGTTACCTAACGCTCCACCAAAACTGAAATACTGGAGCGATGGGATAGAGGGGAGCATGGAAGAATGGAATTCTAGGGATCAGGGTGAGGCAGACTGCCTGACGCATACAGTCATCACACCACTAAAGCATGGACTAGGAAGGATTGCTTCTCCAACTGATAACACAGGAAAGAACCTGTTGCCTGACTCCTACCTTTCATCCTTCTGCTCCCTCCTCTCACCCTCCCTGATTACACACAGCTTCTGGAGCTCTTCGTTTTTTAATACAACTTCACCAAGGAACAAAAAAAGAAGTTTAACTTTTAAAAAAGTCTCTGGGAACGTTTGCAAGGGCCGATTGCTCTGTGCTAGATTAGAGAGACTGAACAGGCTACTGTTTATTGTTCAGAACTTCAGGGTTTAGACCATCAAGTGTCCACAAAGTCTATTCAACAGAATCCAATGAAAGTGAGAGGCCTACACTGCCTCCCACCTGCTGGGACTGGTGGGGCAGCAACCAGTCCATTAGAAATCATGACCAACTGGAATTTGAGTTTGCGCTTATTTATCATCATTAGCTCATTATTATAAATTGTAGATTGCCTTTCTGGGGTGGGGGAAAGAGGAGAAGCAAACATGAATTCAACCTGCTAAATGCATCTGCAATCACTGGGTTCATATTCCACTTTGCTTACAAAGAAGTGCATCCTTGATTGCCAGTGAACACTGTATGCTTGGTGACTAGCTAGCTCAAAGTAAAGAAACCAAAGGCAGATGGTCCTTTTAGTCCTCCTTGTGTGCTGGTGACCACAAAAAAACCCCAAAACACCTAAATACACAAAAGCCAAAAAATAAGAATTTCTCCCCCTTCCCGACAGCCTTCACCATCAGCCAATCACAAGAATTGGATAGCCAAATGAGCTCGAGTCTATTCCCACTCTCTTGGTGTCTTTTCTCATAGCAAGGACAGCAGCACTCAATGGGATGAGGAGCAGTCTTCTTGCTTCCTACAAAGCTTGGGCAAGTCCAGCTGGGTTTAAAGCAGATTCCACTGTATTGTGGTATTAAAAAAGAATGGCAGAAACGGGTAAGTCTTCCTCTTGGGCATTCCACGGCATTATTTCCATGTTGCAGATTGAGGGATGGATCGTGGGGGAATCATATCCAGGAGATATTCACGTTGACGGTCTACTGCTGAAGAAGTCTTGTGCACAGCTAAACTAGGGTTGACAAAAGCTAGAGCCCCACCTGACAAAACATAAAAAGAGAAAGAAGCGAGTGTCGCAGTACGCTTAGTCGGAGACAAGAACAGTGGAAAATAGACAGCTCAGTAACTGGCCCCCAAGATACTATGGGGATGGAGGCTCTCAAAATATTACTACCATTACCCAGAAAAATGTATCTCCACAACCATCTGCACAAGTGGTAGCAAAACTTCCCAGATTGTTTAAAAGTCTTGTCATTAAGCTATCGGAGTTGACCACATAACTGAGTATCGTCTCAACTCTACATGAAATGGCATAAAAATATTTCAGTATTGGGCAGAAAAAACCAAAGCTGCTGCTGCATCTCTTGCCTGGGGATTCCAAGTATTGCTTCAAGGAAGAGACCAGAAGACTTAACAGAAGTGAGATCCTCTGATCCTTTAACCTAAAAGGTTAAAATGCTAGTTGAACAGTTAAAGATGCTGTGAAGCACATTGAAAGGTATGTCTTGTAGCTTTTCCAACAGCAAAAGATCTATTCTTTCCCCACTTTCAGTAGAGGCAGATGATGTTTATTTCAAAATGATTCTTGATGTTAACAGTACAGTATTAACTGCACACCCAGGACCTGACGTTCATTGCCCTGCACCTTGTAAAATCATACACACCTTAGGGTAAAAACACAACCCTTCTCCTAGAGTAGGACTTCACAGCCACTTTGGACAGGTGTAAACAACTGTACCAAGCGTGAGGTAATGGAGCAACAGGCCATTGTCCTTTATGCAGGGAGGTGCCAAAGAGTAACAAAGAATTAAGGTTGTTGGCCAACAAAGTGCAACTAAACTACAAAGAAAAGAACACAAAGAAAAAGTCTACCTGTAGTGATGGGGGTCTTCTTCCAGGTAGTAGCATTGCTCTTGCTGACAGGTCTCTCAGCATGCTTACCTGGCCTACTACCAAGTGCTGCTGCAGCTGATGCATTCTGCAACTTGGGTGACTGACTAAATGCATGCAAGACTCCTCGGGTGCTTCCTGGGGGACCTCGAGACAGCTGGCTAGAAGTCTAGTGCAAGAGAAGAATTAATTAGAAGGGCACAGGAACGCAAATTTGTGTCTTGCAAAATGTTCAGTACACTAGTCATGACAATCTTTTACTGGATTTCTCTTCTTCCTTTCCTCCTCCTACCACACCTGGTACTGGCCACAAACTTTGTATCATCTCTAAATCAAAATAAAAAGCTAGCGGTCAACAACATAGTGTCAACAACAGCTTGTTTTTACCTTTTAAAAGTGAAGTGCACATAAAAAAAGTGAGGCAGTTGTACTGAGTGGAAACAGCAAAGAAGGTAAGTACTGTGTACACTTTCTCTCTCAGAAGCACCACCAGACGGCAAGCCTGACCTACACCATCAATCCCTTGCTACTCCAGTTCTGGACTTCCTTGGCAGCGTTCCCAATTCCATGGTGGTTTTGTGAGGTGTACAAGTGGGGACTGGGATTAGAAGACGACCAAGTGACTCATTTTCATTTATGATCTGAGTTGCTATTTGAACCCAAGCCTCTGGCATGGACACAAGTTACACATTAAATTCGAGATCTTACAGCTCACAGCATCAGGAGTTCCTTGCTCACACCTCTCTATACTATGTTTCTAAGTGTTTCCTATCAAATTTGTGATTATCTAAATTAGGGAAATTTTTAGAAGTGTAACTACACTGATGTACTTGCACTGAAGCAGAATTTCCTCCATCTAGACACCCAAACTTAAAGACAGTCTTATATGCTACAAACTGCGCAAGAACGGCCACACTAAGTAAGACCAATGGTCCATCTAGCTCTGTATCCTGTCTTCCAACTGGTCTGTTCATTCCCACTGAAGCATCTGGCACTGAACACATCAATTATTGAGTGATCCATCCCATCATCCAGTCCCAGATTCTGGCACTCAAAAGTTTAGGGTCACCCAGAGCATGGGGTTGTGTCCCTGACCATCTTGGCTAATAGCCATGGATGGACCTATCCTCCATGAACTTATCTAGTTCTTTTTGGAGCTCTACAGTGTCACACAGAGCAGAGTTATTCTGCTCCTCTTGCCACATCCCCTTCCAAAATAACACCTTGAGTGTAACAAATGGATTCATTTTACCAGTGATATTTATGCAATTACTACTTAAAATCATCAGGCCATAACTGAGCTAGTCAACGGTTTATTATTTTGTACAAGTTTTTGCCTGTAATAGTTTTGCTGCTCTTTTATTCTTCCATTAATTGCTAATATTACAAATCTGCACAGGGTCACTGGAATGTATCTGATCTGTACTAAGTTATGGGATGTCAGAGAACTCGATGGAGGTTTTAAAAGAATGCTGTCCCAAATGTGCCCCTTAGCGTGGGAGTCTAGAGTTTACGTGGGAGTAGTTCAGTTGAAACAAGGTGAGAAGAGCAGTCTTTGAAATATTGTAACTAAAATTAGCATTTTTAAGTGTCCTGTTGATACCCAACCTCCTGCCTAAACAATCAAGAGTTCTTTAACATTTCAGTCAATATTTGCAAATGGAGCTCTTCCAAGCATTACAGAAATGGCTCTCTGACCTCTGTCACTGGGCCCTCCCACTGGCGTTACAGTCAAGGACACATGCTGTTTGGGGGCTACTAGAAGGTGGTTTTAACAAACCAGAGAGTTAGATAAAAACCTTCTCTCCGTCCCTGGAGTCCTATGGGCACCCTTCCCCTTTGAATATGCAGGATCATGCCCTTATTTCTTAATGAGAGCTGGATGTGACTTCAGATTCATCAGTGTTCCTCCTCAATCTGCCAGAGAAGGTTTTTGAAACAGTGCAAGTCTCTCCCCATGATCACCATGATGCCTCTGCAGAATTAAGTGTTTGTTCTCGGCTACTTTAGGAGCCGAGCTCACATCTCAACCGTAGGATCCTCGTCCCATAGCACACTGGATTATTAACAGGACAGCCAAAAACTTAATTCAAAGTACACTTCAGAGCTTATACAACAAGCTCTTCTTGTATCAACTCTCACACCTGTGTGTGATGCAAAATAGATGCATGGCCTTTTAAAACGTACGGCAGGAGCACAAGCTGCGGATGCCTTGCTTGATTATCTGCAATGGCTAATTTGGTACTGAAGGATTCCTACCTGCTTGAGTGAATGATGCTGGACTATAGGTTCCGACTTGGTCTGTACAGGAGAAGCTGTCTGTTGCAGTATCCGCTGCTCAATCTCCTGCTCTTGCTGCAAGGCTTTCACAAAGGCAGCCTTCAGTCGATTAGTGTGCTCAGCCTTGAGGGCCTTTTTCTGATTCGATGTCATACAGGTTTCACACATGATGGTTCCGTTCTTCTCTTCCCTCCAGCGGCAAGTGAAGTCAGTCTTACATTGAGCACACATATAGGGCTCCTGAGAGGAGGCGGTGACTGAAACTTTACCTGTGGAATGCAACCAGGTTAGCTCACCACTGCGGGTTCTAAAAATGGCTTATGCCTTTGTTCTCAAGCTCCCACCACTCTAAGTGTTTGTCGGTTTATGTTCCTATTTTACCCTCTCACACAGTTTCATTTACTATTCTTAACAACAATGTTAACCAATTTTTATCTGTGCATCAAGCAAGTCTGAATCTTGGCAACAAGTGATTACTTACTAAAGCAGACTACCTAAAAGGATACTCAGAGCCATGGGAGTTGTATTCAGACTCCTAAAAGTGTCACTACTGACCAGCAACTATGGCATTATGCTTATGGTTTCTAAATCATCATCTGTGAAGTAAATTTTCCTCACTTTGTCCCCTCCCTCCTTTCCTACCGCTCAAGCAAAAAATTACTATTTTAAACTGCCCCAAAGTATACTAGGACACTTGAAAGGCAATATAGTCCTTGTTGCAAGGAAACTAAAGTCTAATTTTTGACTTGACAAAATAAGTAATGATAATTAAAAAATAAAAGGCGAAAGAAAGGATAAGAACTACATTTATAAAGTCACATGGTTATTTTGCACGGTTGGGGATGCATCTTTCATATTTTTTTTTTTTTTTTTAAGACTGAGGGACGCTCCAGTCTTCATTCTAGACCCTGTCCACCAATACACTAGTATAGCATTTTTTTTTAAAGTCTAATTACCAAAATGTGTATATAAATAATGATCTTGGTCCTACCCTCCCCATTATTGTCATCCTTTGTTGCAATAGGTCTAACCTATTCTAGACGGGGACCTGTCAAGTCTATGACATGAAAACCATCAATTTAAGGTTATTTAAACATTTTCTCAATATCCAAACAACTGACTAAACCACATATAAAAACATCTGACAATAACTTAACAGGAGCATCATGAAAGATTATGCATGGGTCGAAGGAAAAAAAACAAAATGAAACACGACCATTTTTAAACAAACAAATGAACAGGAACTATATATACACACACACTTGTAGGAGGATTCTTAAAGCCCATATAGTACAACCACAATTTTCTGAAGGGTTTCAGACATCTGAAATCTTCATAAAAACACAGGGTTTAGATGGGAAGCATTGCTATCAAATGGACATGACCAATATTTAGTTAACTTGAAGTTAACTACACCTCTACCCTGATATAACGCTGTCCTCGGGAGCCAAAAAAAAAATCTTACCGCATTATAGGTGAAACCGCGTTATATCGAACTTGCTTTGATCTGCCGGAGCGGGTAGCCCCCCCCCGGAGCACTGCTTTACCGTGTTATATCCGAATTCGTGTTATATCGGGGTAGAGGTGTAAATGGGGTTATACTGTATGCATAAGTTAGCTATGACGACCTGTATAAAGTCTCATAATACAAAGTAAATGCCTTATAAAAAAGTATTCTCCCTTCCTCACTCTTTAAAACACTGGTAATTAGCAAAACCTCTTTAAAACAAATGTTTTCTGCATGTCTTCTCCCATCTCTCTTGGTTACCAATGTGTGTCTACATAAGAACTTCCTTATGTCATCATCCTGCCCAAGTCACCACAAGCTAGCATTAACAGCAAAAGAATGGTTTCCAGGAGGAGGATGGATTGTGACGTCAGTGAACGGATCAGGTAAGACACAAGATTATTAGTAAGGGTGAAAGCTATTTATACCCAAATATGGATTTAAAAAAGTATATTTTTAAAAACTTTACTGAGGCGTGGCAATGGATCTTTAGGGAAAAGAACCTTACAGAAGCTGAGCCCTGCTACCCACATACCGATAACCCACTTGTGACTAGCACGACTAACCTGCTCGGAGGAAGGAACAGTAAGAGGGTCACAGTTCCCAAGGAAAGCCAGCTGTATTTTGGGGGTGGATTTGATTGATGGCTCTGAATTAGACTAGAGATATGGGTTTTTCCACCTCGAGGATACTGACCTCGCTCTGGCACAAAGCAACCAATTGAAATCAGATCAGTGTGAAGGGAGTCACTTAAGCACAGTTCTAGTAGTCACAAGTGTTCAAGTCACCTCTCTGCCCCCACATGAAATCAATCACCATAAATTGCTGCCTTATTGGCAGACTCTGAGGCCAAAGACTGAACAGCCAATGGAAAGTGAACCACTTTCTTATTGTGTTTTAAGAAATGGTTGCCTCCAGGTCAAATTTATAACGAACTGGTGAGGCACCATGGTGGGGGAGGGGGGGCGGTCCACTGCTACCACCGACTGGAGCAGTGAGTTTGTTCTTGGGGTGGTTTTCACTTTACTATGAGGGCACTGCCCAAAACCCTCAGAGTCAATGACCAAATGTGAAACTGAATAGGTGGTTGAATAAAAAAAGCCTTCCAAAGAAACAGGAGGCAGATCGATGGGTCTTCAAGGTTATAAGTTTAGAGGTTACCTGGGTAGAAATCTTTGTTGTCTAGCCAAGTCTTAAGTACAGGCCTCATACTTAGAGCTCCATTGCAAAACAAAATGATCAGACCTAGGTCACTTTGAACGAGGAGGAAAACTTCCTTCATCTCCAGGAAGCAAATTAAAGCTTTTTCAATTACACAAATTTGGTTAATTTGGAAATGCAAATCCTCTTTGCTTTTAGGCCCCAGCAAGTCTAAGCCAGCCCTGGTGACCCCATTAAAATGGCGCTGTGACCCACATTGGGGTCCTGAACCACAGTTTGAGAACTGCTGTTCTAGAGAAAAGTTCTTACAATCAGTATCCAGCACCCAAGAATCCAGGATGGTAGTGGGCTTCTAGAAATCCCAGAGATAGAGAACACAAATTTGAAAGCCACAGAGAGATTACTGAAGCCAATATTACATTTTTGTTCTCAGTTTACCTAACTACTGTGGGAGAACCCAAAATATTTCTTCTGATACAGCCGTGATTAAAAGGCATTGCTACTCCAACTCTTCTTAGGCAATAAGGAAGGGCCAGTGCCTCATCTTTTGCCCGAGGCTAAGGAGGCACCCTCCACCGCATAAACCAAGAATATTAAAAGAAATAAATTGAGTACTTCTGCTGCACTTTGCATTTAAAACTGCTGTGCAAAAATATCACCTATTTGAGGAAGGTATGTATTATTTCCATTTTTAAGATGAAGAAATTAAGGAAGAGATTAAGCAATTTGGAGAAATCCACATAGTCTTAGTTCGGTCACTGATACCAAGTTGCATGCTCTCAACTCTAACTCATGCTGTGAGAGAAGTCACAGTACTTGAAATTAATGCACTTGTATTAATGAGTCTAGCATATTTTAAAGCCCTCAATAAATAAGCCTTCAGTATCTGGTACTAGCTTACCTTGAGTTTCTAGCAAGTTTTGCACTACTTCCTCCAAACCAACCAAGTAAATAAATTCGTTGTTGGCTGCACTTGGCAGGAAATTCATCTCTGGTGCAGGTGGTTTAGGAGGTGGGATCTCCAGGAGCGTCTTCTCCAGCTGCTTGCGCAGTGCAAGTTTGGCAGCAGCTTGCCGGCTGGCTGGGGACTCGTTGGAGTTCACTATAGAAGCAACACTGGTAGTAGTAGCAGCATTAGCCTGAGCTGATGTCACGGTTGTACCTTTTATTGAAGTAGGTGAGGCCTTAAAGAAAATACAAGCATGGTTACTAATCAGAATACAACTGTCTTGATAGTTTAATCCCTATAGCCCATTCTAATCTTGTCCTCTCTGAGATAACCAACAAGGAGGCCACCTAATATCAATTGTGATAGTAGACAAGTGTCCACATCACAAAAACTCTTTGGAACTGGACTAAGCCATCTTTCACCAAAAAACTAATTTCATATAGCCCACAGAATAGACATCAGGGTATGACTTGTGCCCTTGATATAAATGGGTCACCTAGAGGTCCAGTGCTAGGCATTCCATTCCCAGGCGTCTAGTCCTCTATCAAATACTTTTTCAGAGTTCTTAACTTTTGCTCATTCACCTTTTGTAATGCATTCTTGGAAGCTTGAAAAGGCAATTTACAGTACTTCCCCTTAATATTTTGTCCTTTTTGATTTGATAAATGCTGACTTTTCCCTGCATAAATTATGAATCATAAGCCAGTTTGCTTTTGTCTCCTTCACTGGTTCACGAACAGAAATGCGTGCATTTTGCATTCTGCTTAAATAGCGGTTATTTTATTTATGTGAGAAAATGCTTCCTTAGAAGAGAGAAGGGTGTAGGAGGAAGGAGAGAAGAGAAACTAAAACGGATTCTGGGGAACATTTCCAACTAAACATGCCCAGTATAGGAGCTGAGGCCCAAAATTTGTCCACAATATTTATATTCCTTCCAAGTCTTGTTTGGTCGTACCCCAGGATGTTACATATTTCCTCGGTCTTCTCACAGACAATACAAAAAAATCAATTCAAATTTACAGTATCAAAAGTTAAATGCATTTTAAATTAACTAACTTAAATTAAGAGATTTTTATTGGGTACGAACAAATTCATATGGACTGCTCTTTTCCCTCATATGTGCATACATTATCTAGAGCTTTTGCAAACACTGAATAAAGATAAAGAACTGCCTGCAAGCAAAGAACAAAGAGCGGAGTAGTAACAGAAATAACCAGTTACATCAGTTAAGAGAGAAGACTGCAAACAAGAGTAATGAGATGTAGCAACTGGACAAATCAGTAACTGTATTTAGTCTCAAAAGAACAGAAGTGAATAGTGTTCTGTATCTTTTGGATCTCACCTGTGGTATATTGACAAGCAGGCTGGTATTGGGAACATTGGCAATGCGGATTAAACCCTGTTGTATAATTCTCTGTCCCTGAATCTGTACACTGGGGACGGATGCCCGTGGTGCCAGAAGCAGTGGAGGTGGCCCCGTGCTGGAGTGCTGTCGGATGTTGTGGATTTGCTGGGGAGAAACAGAGATGGGCTGATGCAATGGTTCCATGAAGGATGGGATGGAGAGTGTTAGAGAAGGTGGAAAAACAGTGGGTGGGAGGTGGAGTAGGATGAAATGATGTGATGGAAATGATGCAAATCAGGGAACAAAACAAAACAAAAACAAAAAAAACCACGCAACAACATTAACATCATTGTCAAAATCCGCAGCTTCATTTTGACTGTAAATGCATTCCAAGAGAAGCAACATAGAATGCAACATTAGAAAAGATACTTGACTTCAAATCTTAAGCCAAAAATTTAACCATTTTGGCCTTGATAAACAATGGTCTGAAGTTAACAGTTCCTTTCCAACCTGGATAGCTCCTAATAGTCTGTTTCATTTTAAGATTATTAGTGCAGCTAGTCTACTTTAGAGTTAACGAGTTTTTGGCATATTAATCAGGACTGAAAGGAAACTAAATCCCATGTGCCATACCGTCTTTCTTAAGATTAGCCATCCAGCAGGCACAGATGGTTTATTTAAAAAAAAGTAGTCCCCCAATTGCAAAATAAATCTCCACTGAGCTAGATAAATATTTCCCCGTATCACACAGTGATCACAGTATATTCAATAAGATCCACTGGAGGTAACTCTCTCCGCTCCCTACCTTGCTCCTTTGGTGCAACCACTACTTTCCCCTCATAGAAGACAAATGGACTTAAGAACAAGACACCTTCACAGCATTTTCAGTTCTCCAGTTTGCTACCTCATTCCAGCAGCCCATTAGTCAATTTGACAATGAAGGCATTGAGAGAGATTAAAACATACATCAGAGGTGAAATTGATAAAACAGGAAAACGAAGGAGAAAAATGTTTTTAAGAACCAAAACACACAGTAGGATTAAGTCTTCTACATTGTCCTGCTGGGTAAAGCTGGCCCAATGGTAGTGCTCTGCATCACCATACGAGACCTAGGTTAGTCCTCATCAGTTAGGAGTGAGAGAGTGCATTTAATCAGCACAGATTGGAAGGATCTTGCATCACTCAATAGTAATGCATCCAGTCTATTAAGGAGAGGGTCCTACGAGAACCTCATCCAACCCTCTTGGGTAAGGGGAATGGCGATTATGACTCAGAGCCTTGAAGTTGAAATGTAAAAGTGGAAAGAATTAGTGAGACAATCCCCTAAGCCCTGAGGGGAATGGAAAGAACACACCTGATGCAGTGAGGGAGATCTACAACCACACCAACTCTTACCTGGGCTCCTCTGACAAGAGGTGGCATTACTATCTGCGTATTCTGCTGAGATCCCAGTTTTGAAGATGCTTGTTGCCCTCCACGGACCAATGGAGGGGGAATAACAGTGCCTGGTATACGTGAAGAAGAGGTCTACAAAACAGAGGAGCATTTACTTTTAAAATTTATTTTTAGAAAACAGAACATGCTCATCTATATAGAGGTTTATATTTAGTTTCTCACAGTTGTATTTGACTGTTTGTATGCCTATGTCATTTTTAAAGACTGCACTGCCACACCTTCCTTGTGAATACCCAAAGAGATTTTTCTTTTCTTTCTACTTCCTCCCTCTCCTCTTTACTTGCCTTAATCTGTCGGTCTATCTGCTGAGCTGTTCTTGGTATTGGTATTGAGGGAATGCTACAGGTGAGTCTCAGATCTTACACTGAATGTAAGGGCACAGAGGCTCATTCAAAACTGCTTCGGTGAGAAAACCGAAGATTTCAGTTATAATGGGGGATCTATTCTAGGGTGGATAACTTCTTTTACTATAGAAATGCAGCTTTAGACATCTGGGTATCTTCACTTACAGAACCCAAAAATTGGCCACTGTTCATGAGTTAAGGTTCTCACAAAAGCACTGGAGCTTCCCCTTTCACTGTTTGTAGTAATACAACTTACGACTTTGAAGGGTGTAGGGGAAGCTAATGTTCACTTGTATTGTGCTTTTCATTCAAGAATTTCAGAAATGCTTTACAAACATTAAACAAACTTCACAAAATCCAGGAATTACTGCAATTTTACAGTTAGGTAAACAGATACAGAGAGGTAAAGTAACTTGCCCAAAACTTGTATAGCAAGTAAGAGAGAGAACAGCAACAGAACCCAGGAGTCCTGACTCCCATTTCCCCGCTCTGACCACTAGACTATATGCCTTCCACTACTGGAAAAAGTTTCCACTCTGTTACTTGAAAATTTCATTTGTGGGGGCAAGTTCCTCTTAAAGTGCTGTCTTTAGTGAGGGCAGCGGTCTCTGTGCACTAGAGATAAAGAATCTGTCAACCTTTGAGTTGATCATTTTATTCTAGTGCCCTGAAACTTGCTTATGATGGTAGGATAGTTTCACAGCAAAATTAAGCAGCGTGCTCTTTGGCCAAAGGCCTTTTCAGTACTTCTTACGTACCAGTCAGGCAAGTGCATTTGGAATTTGACTAAAAATCAGCCACTGGAGGATAAGATTGTAGGGGTTCTCTTCTTCTCCCCCACTCCCAGTCTTAAAAGCTTATTGTGACTGGATTCATGGGGGTTAGTGCTGGTTTAATCAATATAAAAAAATCCACTTGGAACCAAACTGTTTTTGTGACAACTAACCAGACTGTAGACATCCAGTCCTATGAAATAAAACTTGCAGGATGCTTTTTTGTGCTAGAACTGTTCTTAACGTGAAAGTTGTACAGTGGCAGATAATGAATTTCTAACTTGGCTGGCATGTTTATTGAAATTAGAAGTGGGAGAGAGGTCATCAACATATTACTACTTCTCCGCCCAGCAATATATGGAGCAACTTTGCTAGATCTATATTGAAGATTATCCCTCCTATTACTATGCACCTTCATCTCCTCTGCATGCCCCAAACCTGGCAACATATGAGGCCCCCATGCTAACCTGAAGGGATGGCTTGCCAGCAGGAACATTCTGTGTTCCCCGCACCAATGGGGGAGGGGTGGCCACAGCACTCCCAGAGGAACCAGGAGGCTACAAGAGAAAAACCAGAAAGACAGACCCATGAGAGGTTGTGAGCAGAATTGCAGCAATTAAGGAAAATAAAAATATTTGCCTCCTTATAACTCAATGAGAGATTATTGCAATATAGTGATTCTCTCTCTCTCACTCACACACAGTCTAACTGGCATGTTTAAAATCCACAAATTAGTATTCAAGTATAGATAAGAGATTCACTCATTCTTACTCTTATATAAATTATATACCTTTATGAAGGCATTCAAAGCAATTATATAAAGCAACAGTTTAGTAATTTACAATACATTTTAAAATGAGCTATTTAAAAATTAAATAGGTCTCAATATACAACCTAATTCAGTACCCAATGCATGGACAAACTTCATTAATTGTTAAGGACTGTTACCCGAAAACTAATCGGGATATTAAGAAAGCATTCTAAAAGGTGTTGTTCCATTCTACTTAATCAATTCAATATCCAAAGTTCACTTCATCAGTGTTCAGTAGCAGAATATGTAATGCATGTACCCAACACATCGAATTGATTTCAGTAACCAAAAACGCGAGTTTAAAAACAAAGGACTCCAAAAGGAAATTTCACAGAAAGTCAGGGAAATAAAACATTTCTCCTTACCCACCTCCAATGTGAACTGAAATGCTTTTAATATAAATATGTACAAAAACTGTTAAGATCCATAAAGTCAAACATTTTAAAGTAACGTTAAACAGGAAAAGGACTTTCAATTATTCATCTGCCAAGACTAAAATTCAGAATTTTGAGTTTCCCTTGCATGGGTTTATCAGTAACATCTAAAGCAGCGTTTTAGACTTTCAAAAGTCTTTGCTGGCAAATATTCTATTAAGGATTCGGATTCTTTTTTTGTTTTTTTGTTTTTTAATTATTTTAAGTACACAATACTCACACAGAATTTTAAACTGTCAAAATGTCTTCAAACTAAAAAAGCATAAAACTGATTAATGATGGGCAGTTTTACAGTGTTTTATCAGGAAAACTAAAAACAGCGAAAACATGAAGATGAAGAGGACATGATGCACTTTGGAAGAGCCATATATTCAATAGCAAAGTTCTTGTAAACTATTGTATATAATTTTAAGAAGGGCTATACTGCAAAGCTCTTACACTATAAATGCATATTCAAAGTCAGTGGAAAGGGTACCATCTTTGAAAAGGTTAATACAAAAGATTCCATAAGATAACTTCTGTATTTAAAATGGGGAATACCACTGGAACTAGAATGAACTTTTAAAGTGCATTCTCTGTATATACTACCCATTTTGTAGAGAGGAAGAATAGATTTTAAAAGGCCTTTATACTTTTATTGTTGGACTGCCAGACTGGATTGTTTTGAGAAACAAGGAAATTCACTTAATGTTTGGAGAAAATGGCTTTTTCTGTTAAAGAGATATTCTGAAGTATTACAGTACATTTTGATTTGAGAGTTATACAGGGTACCACAAAATTATGGCATCAACCATGCTGGCAGCATTTAGAAACCAAAAAACACCAGTTGTTAAGCGTCTGTGGGGAAATCAATACCTTCTGAGTAGTGGTCTCTTTCTGTATTTGACTCTGCCGCAGCTTTTTCAATAAAACAAGTTTTGCTTCTTCTAATCGTAACTCTTCTTTTAGCTGTTTAATCATTCTCTCGCGCTCCTCTGGGCTGCTCTTCTGTAAGGCCAGTTAGGGTATTTGGGGGTGGGGTAGAAAGGAAAAAGAAGATGATAAACTACAAGTAACAACAGCCTGCAGCAGAATAACTCAGTGGGACTAACAGCGTTCACCTGGAATGTATGGACCTAAAAACTAAGTGCTGAGAAAGAACTCAAACCAAAAGCAGGGTTTAAAATTCATCCTTTACTAAACTGGGAAAATTAACAGCTCATTTTGCTTTAAACAAAAAAAGTTTCTCCTTCTGAAAAGGGAATACTATTGTGCTATTTTAAATACTTGAATGGGTGGCTAACAAGTTTTCATATATTTCTCCGAAAAAGTATGGGGGCAGGGCAAGAGAGGATGTTAGGAGTAGAAACCCAAACAGACAGACTGAGCTCCTGGGGCTGAGGCTGTATTAAGGGCTGAAGTCAAACTGCATGAAGCGGATATATGAAAAAGGTGAACACAGCTGCTGAATCGGACATCCTGTAGTCTCACCTGCAACTCAGAATAATTAGTGCCGGTTTCAATATTTCTAAGTAACAAAGCCTAGAGTGTATCAAAAAACGTGGACTCACCATGAGTGCCTCTGTGTTGGTCTCTCTTAATGCTATTTTTGTTAAACCATTCATTCTAGGGCTCGAAGGTTCATTGTCTGATAACACTATAATATCAGGCGAGGGGACTCTCTTTTCTCTCTTTAGATCACTGTAAATTAAAAGAAAGCAAGGCCATTTAACTTCTCCCCATAGCAAAGAATATTACTTTTTTAAAGCTGTTACTGACCGATTAACCCTGAATGCCTCACGTGTGAAGAAAGTGTTAAGTATCCAATGCAAGACCAGAGTTCACTCTCAGATTCCAATTTCCATCTGAAGATTGTAAGCATAAGATGACGACAACCATGATTACTCGATAAATAGCCATAGTGAGAGTAGAAACAGGCCTTAAATCAGTGGTTATCAAACTGGGTCGCAATCACAAATGCGGATCGCACCACCATCAGCAGATGGGGTCACGTGATCCCTAGCATGTGGCATACGCCATTTTGCTTCGCATGGCATGACCTTGCACGCACCATATGCAAGAGATCACAAAGTGCGGAGGACGCCATTTTGTAGAGTTAATTTCATGCAGCACAACCTCACATGTATGGTGTGTGCAAGGTCACGCTGGGCAGAGGATGCTATTTTGTTCTTCAAAACTGTATCCTCAATGCAGTCTGGGGTCCCAGCAGGAAATACTTCATTAAAATGGAGTTGTACCAGCAAAAAGTTTGGAAGCCCCCTGTCTTAAATCGTTGGTGCCTCTGTTGAGACTGCCAAAAGATGTGCCAAACATGGTGGTAGTTTGTACATTGGGGATCCCCTCCCATTAGGAACTGTGTTGAGTCAGCAAATTCATTCACAAGGCAGATGGCAATGACTTTCAGTCACTGGTGACCAACACTGCAAGCAAACCAATGACCTAGAGGGGAAAGGGCCTATCTCCCAGGGCTAATCTGAAACCATCCCATTTGCTGACTGCCAAAAGGCCTTTGAATGCCAAAAGGTCTAAAATCTCTTCAGCCTGTATGAGTATTCAATGACCATCATTTCATCAGGTTGCTTTCCTTATCCCTCCCCTACTACAAATGTTTCTAGATTATTATCCCCCACCCAAGTTACAATTTTATTTATCAGAGTCCTACTGAAGCAGGACTAAAGGTGCACTACACATACAAGTCACTGCAACACAGCATGTACAAGAAAAGCATTTGCATTTAAAGATTTTACACCACAAGTCGGTGCCCTATTACTTAGCAAGTTAAATGTCTCAGCAGCCTAAATGCCCATAAGCACGCCCAATTTATATCCAAACCTACAGGAACACTTTCTCCAGGTGCAGATACAATGTTATGCTTCGTTTCATCCTCACCCTAAAATCCCAAACAATGCCTCGAAGTGACAGAAGAGTCATTAATTGTTTTGATGTGCTACATCTTAGCATGTGCTGGATTCAGAGATCTGAACTCTAACATAGTCATACAAGAACATTGTTATTTAATCACACCAGCCAAAAAGGATCGAGACAGATCACTGTGCGGCATAACGTAACAGCAGACTACAGTACCATTCTTTCCACTGCACTGTACAGCTTTCTGATTGGACAGACGCTAAGAGCCTATAAAACTTCCTGGCTTGGGATGTCCAGCAGAGGCCATTTGCCAAGCGAATTAAGAACGTGAGCTGAAATGAGTCTTTAGTAAAATATAGCTGATCAGCTAGATTAACCCATTGGTGTTAGGATTAGGGATTTCAGATACCAAGTGTATAGCATCTCTCAGCAAGGGTGGCAGCAGATTTAATAGATGGTCTTTTACTGAAACAATAGCATAGCCTCCACCCAGGCTGCCAAAAAAGACAGTTACCTTTCTGTAACTGGTGTTCTTTGAAATGCGTTGCTCATGTCCATTCCACGTTAGGCATGTGTGCTCGCCACATGCACCAGTGCCGGAAGTTTTTCCCCTCAGCAGTATCCGTAGGGGAGCGGCTCTGGCGTCCACATAGTGCAGGATAAGGGGCGCTGCTAGCTCCCGCGACCCTCAGTGGGGAAGGAGGGTGGGTCATGGAATGGACATGAGCAAAACATCTTGAAGAACACCAATTACGGACAGGTAATGGTCTTTTCTTCGAGTGCTTGCTCATGTCCATTCCACATTAGGTGACTCCCAGCAGTTCCCGTGGAGTTGGGTAGGAGTTCACGGCTGTGCAGATTGTAATACAGCTCTGCCGAACCCAGCGTTGTCTCTGGCTTGCTGATTGATGGCATAATGAGACGTAAACGCGTGGAGCTGGGTTGATGTACGGAAAGGCTTGGTATGCGCCAAGTAAAAAGCCAAGACTCTCCGGACATCCAGTCCGTGCAGATGCCTCTCCTCAGCAGTCTTCTGCGGCTTGGGACAGAACACAGGCAGGAACACGTCCTGGCTCATGTGGAAGGAAGATACTACCTTTGGCAGGAAAGCTGGGTGAGGCCGTAGCTGAACCTTGTCCTTATAAAACACTGTAAAACAGTTCTGAGGTCAAGGCCTTAATCTCAGACTACTCTTGCCAATATCACCACCACCAGGAAAGCGACCTTTCAGGACAAGTAGGAGAGGGAGCAAGAGCCCCGTGGCTCAAAAGGCAGGCAAGTGAGCCTGGAGAGGACCAGGTTAAGGTTCCCACCGCGGGACAGGGGCCCAGCCCTGCAGGTAAAGCCTCTCGAGGCCCCGCAGGAACCTGACAGTCGTGTCGTGAGAAAAGACTGTCTGACCTTGGATCGGCTGGTGGAACGCGGAAATAGCTGCAAGGTGCACTCTAATGGAAGAATGCACCAGACCCCAGGTCCTGAGTTGCAGTAAGTAGTCCAAGATGGACTGCACTGAAGAACGCGAGGGAGTGAACGGTGAACGAGTGGGTGAACGGCGGCGGGATGTCCCCCACGATGGGGAGCAGTACCATTGAGGCGAGGGCGGACGGAAAGGTCCCAAGGCGGGCTTACCCCAAGGTCTGGACACTGCCAGGGCCAGTGTGGGCGGCACCGGGATCATCAGGATCTCCTGCGCAGCTTGGAGCACTTCAGGCGTCAACAGCATCTGAAGCTGATGAAGGCCCACCTCCTGTCTGGGCTTCCAGGCAAGGAACGGGGTTGGCTGCATCGCTCGACATGAGCTGAAGCCCGACTTCCTGATGGGGCAGATGAGCCACCCAGTGCGGGTCTGAGCTTGTCCCCAGCCCTGTCCTTCCCCTTGTGGAGAGTAGGAGACCGATCCCCTACCGGCCTTCTTCACCTCTTGGCCGGGGCCATGGATTGGTGCCGGCTCGTGGACGGCGTCGGCGGGACACTACGCACTGATGACACGGTGCTGTGTGCCGATTTGGACCTTGGCTCTGAGAATGGAGTGAGCCGGACTCCATCAGGAGCACTTTGAGTCTGATCTCACGCTCTTTCTTGGTCCTAGGTTTAAAGGACTTGCAGATTCAACATTTATCACTTATGTACCCTTCACCAAGGCACCTGAGACAGCTACTATGCGGAATGCTCCTGGGCATGGGCTGTTTGCAGCGATTGCAGCACTTAGAGCCTGGGGACCGGGGCACACCCCATCCCCTGGCTAAGTCCCCAACGGGACTAAGAAAACGAACTACTGCTAAGGGTTAACTAACTATGTACACTAATTTTACAAGAGTTCTAGTTTGTACAAACAAAGCCTAAGCAACACTAGTAAGAGCAGTGAATGCTCCGTGCACCGTCACTGGTGGGAAGAAGGAACGGAGGGTGGGGGGAGCCGGCAGCATTCCTTATACTGTGCCATGCAGGCACCACTCCAGAGGGCGCCAGAACCACTCCCCTACGGATACTGCTAAGGGAAAAACTTCCAGCACCGGTACATGTGGCCAGCACACACCCCTAATGTGGAATGGACATGAGCAAGCACTTGAAGAGGAACTTGCATTGTTTATGGGATAAGTATAATCACTTTAGAAGAGTACCTCTTAAGAAACTGTGTTACAAACCCAAACAAAAACTACAAGAATACAATGAAACCCTTTTCCATAAGTATCCTGTAAATGAAATAACTTTTCAATGCATTATTGATGACCAGATTAAACCTGCCAAATTAATTTTTGAGACACAAACCAAAACAATTTTTAAAACAATGAAGCCAGATGAAGCAAATATACAGGCATCCAATTAACAAAAAAAAAAAAAACAAAAAAAAG